ACTATTATATATATATATAAAAAATGGATAATCTATGTTGGCCAAACCCTTCTGCTGTGGTGTGATCTTCCGTGGTCAGACCATCACTTATCACTGCATTCAGCAAGCAGAAATGCATTTTTCTCTCTCCATCCCCACGCTGTTAATTTCCAATATTACTTAATGGAGAAAACATTGCAAAGCTGCTTTCCCGTTTGATTTTGAAGGAGGGAAATCACGGCGTGACCATGAAAAGCAGCAAAAAGCCGGCAAGATTATCTCCATACAAACAGCTTTTTTATTACTGCAACTAAAAATAGATGAGAGATCTCCACCACTTTCCATCTTCCATGCTTGCAAGTGTTTTTCTCTCTTGGTGTAATTGATTTCCATTGGTTTCTGTGAAGTTTAATATTCAGAAAACCCGGCAGAGCAGGGGAATGGGTTTGGGTTGAAGCTGATGGCTCCTTCCCCAGCTGTATCACCCCCTTTTTTGCTCACAGGGCTGTTATCCATGGCAAACTCCGGCCCCAACACCAACGGCTCCCAGTTCTTCATCACCTGCGACAAAACGGACTGGCTGGACGGGAAGCACGTGGTGTTCGGGGAGGTGACGGAGGGCATGGACGTGGTGCGGCAGATCGAGGTAGGTGCCACGGGTAGAGCCCTTCTCCTTCCCACCCATAGATTTTGTGCTTTTACTTCTCCCTGCTCTTCTCTTCAAGGCCCAGGGCACCAAAGACGGGAAACCGAAGCAGAAGGTGATTATTTCGGACTGCGGGGAGTGCCCGTGAGCCCCTTGCAGGGGACTGGATGGGGTGGGACAGCCCTAGGACCCCCAGACAGCGCCCAGCACCCGTGGTTTCTGTTGAAATCCCCCTGCAAAGCTCGGTGTGAACCTGCCCGTGGCCGGCGCTGCGGGGTGTGACCCCTCAGGATAAATCGCTTTTCAGCCTGCGCTGCCCTGGTTCTGCTGCTGTGCTCCGGAAAGACTTTATAGAGAGTGAAAATAAAAACCTGGTTTTAAAAACACTGAGCACCTTGGGCTGTTGGATTCTCACCGGGTGAGGATGATGCAAAGGTGCTTTGATTTTTTTTTGCATTTGCCCTCATCTTCTCAAATCCGGTGCCTAAATCCTGGCTCCAGGGGAAGCTGCCCACACTGGGGCATGAAGAGCAGAGCTGAATCTCCCCTGGTTTTTCTGCGACGGGGTTTTGAGGTGGTTTTTGGCCTCTCCCGGCTCTGTAATGTCCTTTCCCATCAGCAGAGGGAGGCAGGGCCCTGACTGGTGGCCACCCTGGTCCAGCACCACCTCCATCCCATAGGGATGCCATGGGGATGTGTAAACGGGAGAACAAAGTCTGGACAAGATGGACCAGGACATGAAGAAGAGCAATAAAAGGAGAAAAAGAAGTGATGAGGCTGTAGGAAGGGTTTAACTTCCAAACTTGGAAAGTGCATTGATAGTTCCCATCAGGGGGTCCCATGAAGGGAACAGCACCATTGGGCAGTGATGGATTTGGGGTTTCCTTTGGGATTATGGCACTGGGCACTTGTGGGATGTGTGGTTTTGAGGGTGCTCAGGTGTTGGCAGAAGGATGGGGCTGCCAGGGTAGAAATGGGGGTCACTGTGTGGGGCTGGGATTTAGGGGATGTTTTCTGGGCCTTGTGCAATTGGGGATTTTTGGTTTTGCCAGCCCAGCTGCTCACAGATTGGTGGTGTTGCTTTTCCATAATAAACACGGGGTTGCTTTTATTTGCTTGCTCGTTTTCCACCCTGTTTGGGCTGGGACAAGGTGAGAACCGGGCCCTGGCATCCTCACAAACAGACAAAACCACCCCAGCGTTTCCCCCTTCGCTCCCTTCTTTTTGTTGTTTACATCTCCAATTTTTGAAGCCAGACCTTGCAGAAATCTCGAGCCACAGCTGAAGCAGAGAAAGCCACTGCTTGATGGAGGGGGTCGATGGAAACCCTGGGTTTTTTCTCCCCACCACATCATCTGGAGCCGTGATCCCATTCTGAGCAGGATTTCATGGGGGAAATCCATTCAGTGGATGAAATCTCTCCAAAGAGGCCAGACCTTTTCTCAGGAAGCCAGGCACTGGCAAGGAGCAGATTTTTCTTATTCTGGTGGGTTTATTGAGCGTTTCTCTTCTCATTTGGTGATGCCAGGTTCATTATTTGTTCAGTGACACAAGGCTCCCCGCGTACCCGAGCTGAGAACCGGGCCAGGCCCCGTTTCCTTATAAAGTCAGAGCAAATCAATAACTTAATTGTGCAAACAGCACAGGGAAGCACCCACGGGTGCAGCCTGACCCAAACCTCACACCATAGCGCTTTGGCTGGGCTCATTTTCAAGCCAACAGGTACAATTTTAGCCGATCCTGGGTAGTTTTTGCATTGCGAAATCCCCCCCGGCCGAACAGAGCGCCGCTGTGCTGTGACATTTATTAAGAAACAAACAGCGAGAGAAGCGAGGTGTTTACTTTCCAAACCAAGGCATTTATTTTATAACAGAGTCGTGGCTCAATATGGATGTTTTTCAATGTTGGTTTTTGTTTTTTTTCCAACTGGCTGAGTTTTGTGCAGTTTTAAGTCAACAGGAGCGGGTTAGTCAGCCAGCTGCTTAATTGGCTGGGGGTGTTTTCATTAAGGGAATTAAAAGCGCTGGTTAAGGTGAGTGGGTAGACAGGGCCAGAAACGGCTCCATCCCAAAGCGTTTGGATGCCACCTCCCTTGTCCCAGTTACCCTTCAGCACAAACTGCCTCGATCACGAAGAGATTCATCAGCCACACATCCTCTTTTTCCTATATATATGTATGTATATGTGTTGCATTAAGTGTGAGAGAATAAAAGTTTTCTATTATTTACATCCACTTATAGAAAGGGGTGGGAGGGATTTCTTTTCATTATTTATTATTATTATTAATGGACTTTGCTGGGGTCCAGCCCATGAAGCTCCTTTTTCATGCACTTTTCAGTGTGGTGTTGCTCCGGCTGGGATGGGGATGGGGTGGGATGAAATGGATGGGGATGGGGATGGGGATGGGGATG